CAAATTAATTAGACCATCTACGTGAGTATAAAACAAATCTATTAATAAATATACGTTTTTGTTCATAATGCATCTTTAACTTCTTGGATTGTTAATAAAACTGTTATGTTGATACCGTATTTTCTTTGACGGATTAATTTTCTATGTTTTGTTAGATTTGCTTATGATTACATGCAGCCATGTTCTGCTAGTATGTGCATGTCAACTTGAAAACCACTAACTGATGCTAAGGGTGGGTATGGAGACGTGTCAATATTATTCAGCGAGACACATCGTATTATTTACATTGGCAGATGTAAAAATGTGCATGGAGAGCGCAATGACGTCATATCATCTTTAATAGAATATTTCCGTTCTGTCTTACAGTAATTATGCAACGTTGGACGTACACCGTATATTTCGCGGTCACTTCCCGTTTTCGCAAAACACTAAACTATTTCACATTTTAGGCAAAAAACAAAAAAACAATAAGACTTGTAAGCAAGTCTAACCCTGATCTTGAATTGTAGAAAACATTAAAACGCAATGAAAATCATGTTACTATCGGTACTGTAATGAAAATGTTGATACTTTAATGAAAAAATCGTTACTGTAATGAAAATGTAGTTACCGTTATGTTATTACCGTTATGACGGTACTTACAGTACCTTGTGGTGGCAGGAAATTGATTACAATCAAGTCATCAGAAGATTAAACAGTGGCCAATTACTCGATAAACGAATGGTTTTATAGTCTAGTTCACTGTGACCTTATTCATTATGGTATATCTAGTATACCTCACGGCATTGTGGTCCCTCCACAGTGGTGGGACTGTGCGGTAACGAACATGAACACAAGTGACATTACTATTGCTTTGCTTGAGAAAATTCATTGGCATTTTAAGACTATTGTGTGTGTTTTTTTTGATGTGCTAAACTTTCGCGCATTGTGAATGCACGCACGTTGGAGTGATATTCAAAAGAACGTGAATAAGAGAATTTCGAACACGCAATCAAATGAGAAACCCCTTTCTCTGACAGGATGCGTGACACGACCGGCTGAAACAAAATCGATAGTTATAAATTGACTGATTATATCGTGACGATATCGTTACTGGGTGCAGTTTGAAATGGAACAATTCTAAACACAATAAAATGAAACGATCGCTTGTGTTCTGATGCACTAAAAAAACATTAGATTGTTTACTCTCGGCACAACAAACGCGTTTCATTCATTTTTATACATATTTATAAATTCCACAATTTAAACTAAAAAGAGAAGTTGTTATTGGCTGATTGCTGATGCTGATTGGCTGATGTTCATATATCAGAGAAACTGTTGTGTCGAATAGGTGGAACAACATCGTGCAAAAACAAAAAAAAAGTCATTTATTCAAAAAAATATTAATAACACGTTTGATAGCTGTGGGCACAATCTCTTTCCAAGACACATTGAACTTACAATCTGCAACCATTGTTTGCAGTTCTAAGCAAAACAAAAACATGCTTATATTAGATATTCGTGACTAAAAATGAAAATATTGTTTAAAATCAAATGGCGTTTTATTGGCTTCTAGTTTTATAATAAGTGACTGAAAATCTAGGTAATAAGAATTGTTAAAGCGGAGGAGTCGTCACTGTTCTTAGCGTATGATGTTATCGTCGCTTGGGACTCAATTCCCGCACGTGCGCAGGCGACGACCCTCCCGCTTTAAGCTATATTTTCAAAAAGTCTTTACATCTGACTTTAAAATATTTGACTGAAATTGTAGCGAGATATGTTGGTAAAAGCAATGACTGGTGCGCATATTGATAAATGATAAGTAACGCAGTGGGGATAGTTTCAGGTTTTATATTGTTGCTTAGCAACCATGCCTGTTGCATAATACGGCAAACGTATTTGTCATTCATACATGCATACAATCGGTCCAGGAATTATGCAAAAAATAAATGTAAAAAAAAAAGTATCGACGGAGTGGTGGATTGACGAACATCTCACCGACTGAGGGCAGTATTGCATTAGCTAACTAAATACGTAACAGATGTATTATTCCGTGTTAAAATATTAATCTTGATAGAAGTACATACGGAAACAATATTGGAATACGAAACTGAATACGAAAAAAGCCTATGTCGATACAGCACTCAAATTTATCCGTAATTGGATTATTCACTAGTGTGAAGGTGCTGTTTCGGGTTCTTTGTTGAACCCTTCATCAGTCGGAACAGTTTATTTAGCTTTCAGAATGTTCGACGTTATTACTTTCATTGTACAATTTAGTTAAAAGGGAAAGTAATTCTTCGTCGTTTGGTGTGTCGTTTTTCATTTTACTGAGTAACTGATCATTCCGAATTAAGTCCCAGTTTTCTAATAGGGCTCTTTTGAGCTTAGACCCTTGTATATAAGGGTTGGACGTAGTTGTGAATATTGTTTGTCCTTCATTATTAGGCATTGATTCACGTAAATGTGAGATACGATTGTCATGTTCATTAATTGAATAGTATCTTTCGATATCGTTATTGGCAATCCGCTCCGCTAGGATTGCCCTTATTGGCGATCCGCTCCGCTAGGATTGCCGAAGCACTGGTTTATTTAAGGCTAGAAGTGCGTTTCCTGCCCTTTCGGGGGTCATGCACTTTTTTCCTCGATTGTTTGAGGAATTGCCTTAGTTTTTCAACAGCCAGAGCCTAATGTTTATTTCCAGCCAAGCATTTGATATCTGCAAACGCGTCCTTCTTCCCCTTTACCGGAATGGCCTGAAATTGTTTCAGATGCGTCGGTAAATAAATATCCAGTAGTTTAGTGTACTGTTTAGATGCCTGGTTTGAGATACGTTCCCACTTTTGTAGGAATGCCGTAGACAGCTTGAAACCACTGAACCCTTAGGAATTATTCCTGATAATGAAAATTTATGTATCGACTTAATCTGATTAAAAATAGACCACTCAGTACGGTAAAGTTTATATAAAAAATTTACCTTTTATAAAAGCAATGACTGGTAAGCATATTTAATAAAATGGCAACATAAATGATAAGTAACACAGAGGGGATATTTTCAGGTTATATATTGTTGCTTAGCAACCATGTGTGTTGCATAATATGGCAAACGTATTTGTCATTCATACATGCGTATGAATCGGTCCAGGAATTATGCTAAAATAAATGTAAAAAAAGTACCAGAAATAACCAAATATTTCAATTAGATAATACCATCCAAGCTTCAACTTACTCCACGGGAGCAGTGTTCGTGGTTTAAATTTCGTCGGAGTCAGCCGCTGTTTCGCGTTCACATTCTAGAACGACCTAACTCGTGTGAACATGATATAAATATTCGACTTACAAGTTCAGATTTATCTGATCAGATTTATCGATCGAA